CTCCACTTTTTATCAAAAAAACTTGGAAGAAAGGTGTGAAAGCAAAGACAGGTATAATAGGAGTCACTTGGCTTCAAATTTTCAAGAGAGTGTATATAAAAAACTCATTTGTTGTTCCCCTTCTATTATGTTGCCTATGCTTGACTTCGTCGACAATATAGCCTCACTTTTATCATAGCACTAATATTTTCAAAATTTTGTATACAAGAGCAACACCTCTGCCAATTATCTTGTATACTAACACTTTTGGTTTGCATGCTGAATATGTAAAGAAGTCCTTGAGCAGAAGGTTGACCTTTACAAGAACCGCTGCATAGTGCCTTCACCTTCTCCAACAAAATTTTTGTTTTTGTTCAGTAGGAAAATTTGGTACGAGTGATCGTCAGAAAGAATTCTATATTTAAACAAAATTTATTAAATAGTATTATACTTATTAAATAGAATCTATTTAACAATTTTTTTCAATTTGTTAACTTTTTATGAATTTAAAAATTATATAATAGAGGTAATTAGAAATGTTCTTGACAGATGATAATTATATAGACTAATATGTATAAGAAGCTAAATGAGAGTTAAACAGCCTTTATTAAATACTTAGATCAATTAAACCAATAAATAATTACTAAACTTAGAGACTAATAGTGCTCTTAATATGATTAGCTAGCTACTGAAATCGTGCAAATGTATTATGATTAATTAAAGCATCATTACTGTAATTTTGCTAAAGATTTATATTGCAAAATATAAATAATAAATTTTAGCCAATTAGAACAAGTTTATGACAAAAAAAGGCAGGTTTAACCTTTTTTTATCAAGATAATGACTGGTTAAACTACTTTCCACAAATTAGAAATTGAGTTTTGATCTATTAATTTTGTACTTGAGAAAATTTTAAATCAATATACAGTCAACTCTTTTTTATCTAAACAGCCCATTCTTGGGTTTTTAGTTTAGTTTTCAAAGAGGTATTATAAGCTTATCCGAACTTTATAATAAAATTTATAAATATCTTAAAGTTTTCGGTTTGGTTAAGAGAGAGTTTGGTTTAGAGAAGTTCGGTTAAGAGAGTAATTAATATATTGATTGATAACGTTCAATTGATTAAATAAAAAAAAATATCAGGTGAAAATCTAACATTAATAATGAAGAGTTTTGCAAACCAATTTCAGCCTATTAAAGATTTTTAGATACTACATTGCCTTAAAATCATTATTACTGTAGCCATGTATGTAATAATATTTATACAAGCTACTGCAGTACTGTATCAGTACAGTAATGAGTCATGGTTCAAGTCATGCTCTAGCTATAACACAAGTTATAGCTTTAATAACTATGCCTTAATCAGAAGCTATAATTTAAAAAGCCAATTCAGTTGCAGCTAAAACTATCTTCATAATAGCTCTGAAAAATATCTAAAGACAGTTGACAGTAATCTTTAGTTCAATTCCGAAGGATAATAATAAAAAAAGCATTGATCGTCATTCACTTTAATTACATTTAATGCATTGTTCAATCAGTTACCAGATTTTGTGAACTTATATCAATAAAAATGCCATAATAAACCATATCCTTCATAATGCTCTGTTCCTGGTATAACATAGAGATGTGAACCTTTTGTCAATCTAACAGTTTTTGGTCCAGGATTAGCAAATAGCATGCATCTCTAATATTATACAAAAATTCCGAAATTTGATTAGATAAAACCATATAACCTAAAGTGACCTAAAATAATATAACCACGGTTATATAACCATATGACTAGCAATCATTTGATTACAGGCTTATGATCTAGTTATAACCTATCCCTGATTTGAGATGGAACTCTAGTTAGATGTTATAACAATTTAAAGGGCTATGAACCAACTTGTATATAAAGTACAGTAATATTTTATTTATATACTAAATCTTCTTTTAACATGTACAGCATGCAATATATTTAGCTTAAAAGCCTAATTAATATATAGTCTATTTTTTATATTTCTTGTTAGGATTTATTGATACACTAAACATATTGGATAAGCATTTGAACAAAAATCCAATAATCTTAGCATTATTGTTACAAAAGCCTATAAAACAGTCATTATAATATGCATTATGCTGAAATTGCAAACTTAATTGAATCGGCTAAAAAATTATTTAGTCAATTTTTATTAAGTATTTCAGGAATTATAAAAATAGCTGTAAATAATTGAAAATACTCTAGCCAAATGAAAGAATCACCCTTAATAGACATAAATTTTTATCAAATTCATCAGAAATTGTTTATAATTTATAAAAACAGTTTAAGGGCTTTAGAACTATAGAAATAGTTAATTAATGCTATAATAAATTATTTGCTCATACTTATCTGAGTACTAATGACTTCAATTTGGATTACAATTTATCTAGTTTGATATAGTTATACATGATCTGATATATAAATTTTAATTAATAAAAATTAGCTCAGGCAGTCAAGAGAGTTTATCACTGCAGTCAAAAAAAAAAATAGTTAGTAACCATCTTTTTTCTTTATAAATCTGTGCTGATTGGCCAAAATTTATTATAAAGTAAGATTATTCAAGTACTTTATGATCAATTCATTATTTTTTTACAATCAACCTATAATTTTTTTTATGATTGAACCATTATTTTATATGTTGCACTAAATATATTAAATCTACTTCTAACAATATAGATCTTTGCTGTTACAACAAATTACTTTTTACTTTTTGTGCTAGAAACTTTTATGACAAATAAAAAATATCAAGAAACCCCCAAGAAAATAACTGACAATTGTTATCTTTGGATAAGATTTATCGATTATTTGGTTTATTTTCTAAAATATTAGTATTAGATGAACTCAATATTTTATTTACAACTACTATTAGTAGTAGAAGTTTGATTATTATCACTAATAGATGACTTTAAAAGAGATATATAAAAAATTCTTTTATTAGTTCTTTATTAAAAAATTACAAATTTAAATAAAATTCAATATACACTTCTTCATATTTACTATTAGTTCTATTTAAAACTAAAGGATTAAATAGTGACACAGAAAAATAACAGCATATGATAATTTGTTAAATCTATAAAAAAAACAACTGGAGTATTGTAATTAGGTGAAGAAAAATATAACTATTTAGAATTGCTAAAGAAGAGCAAAAACACTTGAAGTAGTTAGAACAAATATATTTGAAGTTGTCAGTAATGGTAATATATATTTTTTTTTGTAGAGTTGCTTTTTTTTATTGTTTGTTGTTGGAGATATGATAATTGTTATATTAAAAAGAAGATATAGTAGAAATAATATATTTTTAAAATAATTTTTTTAAATTTGTAAGCGAAAAAGGAATAAATAGAAAAAGAATTTTAAATTATTTATAAGCAAAAAAGAAATAAAGTGAGTAAAAAGAAGGTTATATTAATTGTAAGCAAAAAAAAGTTTATTTTATTTTTGTATGCGAAGAATTGTTTATTAGTTATCTGATGTACATATGTCGACATGTGACATAGATCCACATGGTTAGCAGCTAATCAGAGACGATTTTTGTCTCATAGTGTTTATCTTATAGCATTTATACCCAACTGCATATTATATATTAGATAAACGAAGTTGTTTTTGACGACCTAGTAATATTTATAATATATACCTGTTAGTAATTCAAAGATTCAATATTTGCTATTATATATTGTACTTTATACTTATCTATGAATTCTTATAGTAATTATTTGCTCAAATTTCTATGTATAGTCTACTTTATAGTTATTTAAGTTCTATACTTATTATTTAGTAAGTTTTTTTATTTGAATATTTTAATATCTTTATGTTATTTGCTTACGCAATCTCAATTCATCTATAGATTACAAAAATTATAATTAAAATAATAATACTTTTTTTTTTTTAATTTTTAAACCGATGTCACGGATACTAACGCTTTATTGTGTTTTTATATGTTTATACAACATTTTTTGGTACATTGATGAGCATACAACTAGCCACACGTACAACTTTTGGTTGCCTATTTAAGTAGTCCGCCCGAAGGTTCTATACTAGCTGCCATACCTGCAACCTGCTAGGAGATTGACTATTTAAACCCTCTGATCTTCTGTACCCACTTAGCAGTTAGCCCCATAAGTTCCTGTACACCAAGGTGCCGTCTAACTCGACATATAGTTTCCCTTTCTGTGCTAGGAACCTAGGCCGTACCCAATTTAATGAGTATTGTCACCCAGTAGCAAGGCTCAGGGTGCCCCCTGTCAATAACCTACCTACTCTATGGTCCTATCAACAGGGCTATGCCCTTGCAAAGTTCACCCAAACCCTAGTACCCACTTCACATCATATTCCCAGTACTTCAGTTCCCCCCGCTTTAGTCCTAGACTATCAATCCAGATGGCCCAGAAGGACTGTGACCTGTCCTTGGTTCATTGGCTCTGCCATGACCTTTTTCTCCGGTTAACCCGGCGGCCTGGTTGGTGGATCGGCTTTACCACAGACCGATCATGCCTATCTGGTTCTCTTACTTCAGTTTCCCTTTCCTGGGTCTAGCCTTTACAGTAGTACTGTCGAAGATTTGTGCTACCTCTTTACTCGGGTCTTCCCAAATGAGCTCCTGTCCTCCCAGTCCTACAGATTTACGTGACCTAGAGACTTATCGAGTGTTTGTACCGCCCATTGCCGGTTTGCATCCCTCTGTGTAACCCAAAGTTGCATGGATGCCTCAGACCTGCCAGTCATGCTGGTGCAACCGTAGTTACAGGTATCCTATCCCAACTAATCGACAGAAGACGGTTGCCGTAACACAGGTAATTATTCGAATTTTCGCCATTGGTGGGTTTTGAACTCTTGACCTGCCACTTGGTGGGGGTGACAACCTAACCACTACACTAGATTACCACACCCTTCTGTTTTTAATTAAAGAACCCTTATTTGTTTTTTGTTGACTTTGTTGAATTATAAAGCTTTTAGTATTACTAGTTACTTTTTTTTGTATTTTAGTTGTTTTATACCAATTTTCATGGCTACCAAGTTCTTGTGTAGTTGAAAATTTTTACCGCATCCAGGAATACATTTTTTAAAAAAAGTAGTTTGCAAAAAACTAATTACATAAATATAGTAATGGGATCTCTTGAATTAATAATAATTATTAATAATTAATAATAATTATTAATAATTATTAATAATTATTAATAATTAATAATAATAATTAATAATAATTAATAATAATTAATAATAATTAATAATAATTAATAATAATTAATAATAATCAATAATAATTAATAATAATTAATAATAATTAATAATAATTAATAATAATTATTAATAATTATTATTAATTATTATTAATTATTAATAATTATTAATAATTAATAATAATTATTAATTGATTGATTGAATTATTAACTAATAACGACTTAATAATATATGGCACAGCTAATTAATACAGGAGTATAAAAAACAAAAAGTTGTGTCATATCTACATAATTAGCGGTGATTGAAGTTATTAACTATTAATAATATTAATAACACATTATTAATTTTTTCATTATTAACTAAAAACTCAGAGATCCTATCACTATGTATATAAATTTGATAAATTTAATTTTTAAATATATAATTGATTAAACTATGATGTATTATATTATTTATAATTTTTAAATACGTAATTGATTAAATTATGATTTATTATATTATTTATAATAAATATAAATTAAAAATCATAATACTTTCTCATTAATTATTTTAAACTATTGCTTCTTATCAACATTTCGCTTATATTCTTTCGATTTTAGTTATTGTAGATATTTAAGTTGTTTTATTTATTAATTACTATATTATAATTACTATTTGTTTATTATTTTTTTAGAAATAATTATGAAGCGCAATAGGTTAAATATACATAAAATGTTATTCAAAACAAAACCAACTAAGCAGTCTCAAGCTTCTTTTCGATCTTCTGCAAATCTTTAAACAAAAAAAATTAAAATCAATTACAAGTTCAAAAAAATAATAAAGTTGTCAATGAACAAACTAAAACTCAATATATTAATGAAGAATCTAATGTTCGATATATTAGTGAAGAACCTGTTTCTCAAACTCAATATATTAGTGAAGAATCTGAACTTGAATTTCAATATGGTGAAGATCCTGAACTTGAAGTATCTCATAATAAATATTTATTTAATTCAAATAATAATGATACTCTTGAAAGTACTTCAACTATAAATAACTTTAATAAAAGAAATGACAGATTAGAGGCAAAAAAAGTTCAATTAGGTAAATAAATTTTATTTATTTATATATCTCAATAAGTTTACAAATTTAATTATTAAATATTATTAGAAAAAGTCAATTATTTCTGCAACGAAGACACTATAATCAGATCTCTTGAATCTCTTCATACAATGATTAATACACTTACAGATTTAGTTAATGAAATAAAAAAAGATCAAAATGAG